TTTAAACCTAATCAGTGCTCGAAGTAATTTGAGTAATGATTGCTCATTATTGGCAATTGTGAAGTTTAAGTCTCTCTTTATTTTGCTTCCTGGGCAGCCAGTCGGGAGCCCGGGGACGCCTCCCGGTTCGCACGCGTTTTCAAGGAGAGAGTGGGAGTGAAGGACGCGCAGCGCTCCGTGATGGACAGGAAGTCACGGAGGCTTCGTAGAAGCCACGTTACATATTTTTCTTGGCAGGAAGCAGTGACAGTTCCCACTAGATTAAATGTGATCATCAAAGCGGCAGTTCTTACTGGATCTGAAAGCCATTCAGCGTTTTACTGAAATTCCCAAGTTCAATAAATCATGCCATTTCATGGAACGCTGTTATCCCACTCTGTCTCAGAAATGAAGATCTATGGTTCTCCAGCCAATTGGCTGTTGTGAAAAAAAGATAATTAATGACACCAGCACCTAAACCAATGCTGTCGGATACCGCCGCTGATTAGGGGGTGCGTGCGGCTTTAAGGGGCGTTCCCCACTCTCCGCGGTTCCATCAGATTGAAAAGCGAGTTTGGGTGTATTGTTTGATTGATTTGCAGCCTTCAAATGGACTGCGCAAGAGGAAGGCATTTTAGGATGTTCAGCAAGTAAATAATTAGCAAAGTCATTAGATACCCGAGGATATTAGATATACTGGGCTTATCGCATTAATGTTCCCGTGCTGCTTGAAGGACCATGAATTCACAAAAGAAACTAAGGTTTTTAAAAATATGCTCTTATTGATGTTTTTAGATAGATAGATAGATAGATAGATAGATAGATAGATAGATAGATAGATAGATAGTTATAAATAGATGATAGATAGATAGATAGGTAGGTAGATAGATAGATGATAGATAGATAGAGAGAGAGAGAGAGAGAGAGAGATAGTTATAAATAGATGATAAATAGATAGAGAGATAGATAGATAGATAGTTATAAATAGATGATAGATAGATAGATAGGTAGGTAGATAGATAGATAGTTATAAATAGATGATAAATAGATAGATAGAGAGATAGATAGATAGATAGATAGATAGATAGTTATAAATAGATGATAAATAGATAGATAGATAGATAGATAGATAGTTATAAATAGATGATAAATAGATAGAGAGATAGATAGATAGATAGATAGATAGATAGATAGTTATAAATAGATGATAAATAGATAGATAGAGAGATAGATAGATAGATAGATAGATAGATAGATAGATAGATAGTTATAAATAGATGATAAATAGATAGATAGAGAGATAGATAGAAACATTGATCTGCTGCCTCCTGCAAGCCCTCTCCTGGGGATCAAGCCTGCAACCTGGGCATGTGCCCTGACCAGGATTCAAACCGGCGACCTTTTGGTGCATGGGACGGTGCTCAACCAACTGAGCCATGCTGGCCAGGGCCAAAGAAACTAAATTTTAAAGAGACTGCACTCACAATCTAAAGTTGCCGATGGTGTGGCCTGTGTGTGTGTGTGTGAGAGAGAGAGAGGGAGAGAGAGAGAGAGAGAGAGAGTTGAGAATTATAAAGGCATTTCTAGTTTTTAGTCCACCATAAACAAAGCTATGATGCATTAGAAAAGCTTCCAATTTGATCCTTATATGTAAAGCAATATGGCCAGTGGTCGGCAAACTCATTAGTCAACAGAGCCAAATATCAACAGTACAATGATTGAAATTTCTTTTGAGAGCCAAAGTTTTTAAACTTAAACTATATAGGTAGGTACATTGTTATTAACTTCATTAGGGTCCTCCTAAGGCTTAGGAAGAGCCACACTCAAGGGGCCAAAGAGCCGCATGTGGCTCGCGAGCCGCAGTTTGCCGACCAGGGGCCTAGGCCTAGTCACGCATTTCCATCATCAACATCCACACCCAGGGAATTTTGCTGTTCTCTCCTGCCCCTCCCGCCCCTCTCCTACCCCATGTAAACCAACACGCTGCCAGAAGCAAGCTCTCTACTGCGGGATTTGACTGGCGATCCAAGCCATTTCTAGCGCCGTGTTTATCAGCTTTCGCCAAAACCAGCTTTGGGTGCAGCCAGCCCTGAGCAGGACACAGTATTTATTCCACAGGGTGCCACCGAGTCCTGCTCTGGAACCAGCGCACGGTGACATTGAAGGGCAGCCAGGCCCTGCAACGTTCAGACATGGTTCAGATTAGTGAAAGCGGCATCCGTCTTCTCTCCTGATTCCGAGTTGCTTGACGTAGAGATCGAATTTAAGCCCGCAGCAACCAGAAGCCATAGGTCCCTCCACGAGAGAATGGAGGCATTTTTATTTTTATTTTTTTTTAAATATATTTTTATTGATGTCAGAGAGGAAGGAAGAGAGGGAGAGAGAGCTAGAAATATCAATGATGAGAGAGAATCATGGATCGGCTGCCTCCTGCATGCCCCCCACCAGGGATCGAGCCTGCAACCCAGGCCTGTGCCCTTGACCGGAATCGAACCTGGGACCCTTCAGTCCGCAGGCCGACACTCTATCCACTGAGCCAAACTGGCTAGGGCTCCAATGTGAGCATTTTATATCACTGGTCTCAGATCCTGAAACGCTGAGCTCGTTAAACACAGTGCTAGAGTTACCATCAAGTAAGAATCATGAACTTAAAGTGAAATAGTGCAGCAAGTTTTATATCTTGCCTACTGTCTTCAAAAAATGGCAAAAAAACAAAACAAAATAAGGATGAAGCCAAAACACCAAACATCGGTAAAAACATTTTTATTGGAAACTATTTCACATATAACATTGTGTAAATTTAAGGTACACACGTGTGGATCCAATACATTTATATACTGTAATATGATTGCCGTGTAGCAGTAATTAGCATCTTTTATCATATTGCATAATTACAATTTCTCTTTTGTGGTTGGGATAATTAAGATCTAGTCTCTTAGGGAGATAGATGATTATAACACAATAACGTTGTCTGTAGTCCTTATACTGTGCATTAGCTCTCTAGGACTTACTACTCGTTGAAAGTGTCTACCTTTAAACAACATCTTTCCTATCCCTCCGCCCTTAGCCTCTGGTACCACCATTTGACTCTCTGTGATATCATACACCATGTCTTTCTCTGTCTGACTTATTTAACTTCGTATAATGTCCCCAGGGCCCACCCATGTTGTCACAAATGGCAGGATTTCATTCTTCTTCATGGCTGAATAATATTCCATTGTATCATCTGTTGACCAGCACTTTCCATCTGCTGGGTATCCTATATAATAAAAGGCTAATATGCAAATCAACCAAATGGCGGAATGACTGATCGCTATGATCCCACTGACCACCAGGGGGCCGATGCTCAATGCAGGAGCTGCCGCCTGGTGGTCAGTGCTCTCCCACAGGGGGAGCACCACTCAGTCAGAAGCCGGGCCCACGGCTGGCGAGCGCAGTGGCAGTGGCGGGAGACACTCCCACCTCCGCAGCAATGCTAAGGACGTCCGACTGACATCCCCTGAGGGTGTAGACTGGGCTGAGGGACTCCCCCCCCCGCCCCCCCCCCGCCAAGGGCACAAATTTCATGCACCGGGCCTCTGGTTTTGAATAATGCTGCGGTAAACACAGGAGCGAATATATCTCTTTGCTATCTTGTTTTCATTTCCTTTGGGTCTATACACAGAGATGAAATTGCTGGATCATCTGGTAGACCTAGTTTTAATTTTATAAGGAGCCACCATATTGGCTGGCTGGTTAGGGCACATACAAGGATCAACCGATGAATGAATGCCTGAATGGGTAGAGTAGCAGATTGGTGTTTCTCTCTCTCTCTCTCTCTCTCTCTCTCTCTCTCTCTCTCATATCAACATTGTTTAAGAACGAATATATGGCATAGATTGCATATCCAGTACCATGAAATATTATGAAGCAATGGAAAAGAATGAGGTTGTACTGTAGGCTGGATCATGGACAAAATCACCAGGATGTTTTACAGCTAAAAACCCATTAAGGATAAAACTCAGCCATAAAACAATATTATGCATTTCCCATGAGCCCACATTTATTGCATGCTTACATGTAACAAAAGGCATGATGGCCCTAGCTGGTTTGACTCAATGGATAGAGCGCCGGCCTATGGACTGAAGGGTCCCGGGTTCGATTCCAGTCAAGGGCACACGCCCAGGTTGTGGGCTCGATCCCCAGTGTGGTACATGCAGGAGGCAGCCGATCAATGATTCTCTCTCATCATTGATGTTTCTCTCCCTCCCTCCCCCTCCCTTCCTCTTTGAAATCAATAAAGAAATAAATATTTAAGAAAAAAAAGGCATGATGGATACATTTGTTCCCATTGGTACCTATAGTTGCTTCTTTAGAAGGAAAGTGGTGCCTGGGGAGAGGGAGGTGGTTCTGGGGTTACTTGAGGATTATTTGTAATTTTTAATATTTTTACAGAGAGATTTACATACTATTTGTAGGAGAATGAACTACATATTACCATTAGCAGAAATACAAATAAACCAAAGCGACAGGATTCATAAAATGTAATTTTTTAAAAATATAATTTTATTGATTTCAGAGAGGAAGGGAGAGGGAGAGAGGGATTGAAACATCAGTGATGAAAAAGAATCATGGATCGGCTGCCTCCTGCACGCCCCACACTGGGGATCAAGCCCACAACCCGGGCATGTGCCCTTGACTGGAATTGAACCCAGAACCCTTCAGTCCACAGGTTGATGCTGTATCCACTGAGCAACACCAGCCAGGGCAAAATGTATTATTTTAAAAGGAAGCTAGACTATTCTGTGAGCTCATAATAACACAGCGTGCTTCAAATAAACCAGCATTGAATTTTTCTAGACGGCAACAATGCTAGCCCGTGCAATATTCCTGCCCAGCATGTTTTTTTATCTGCTCTTTGCATGTTGGGGAGTGAGAGCTGAGATACGGCTAATGAAAAACACACAGGCTTCTTTCAGTGTAACCCAGGACGCGCTTCCAGGCGAGTCCCATCTATTCACGTCCCCGCGTCTTTCCCACAGACTTGCGCAGCTAGAAACGTGCAAAATTCAGAAGCCCGGTGAGAATGAATTATCACCACTCGAAGGCAACACCTCCAACGTGGAGAAGATTTACGCGGTAGGTCACCTCGCGAAAACAAGATAAATGCAAATGATGTATTGATAAACTCCCTTGATTCAGCGCCAGCGCTGTAAATAAGCAGGGAAGAAAAGTCGCGAGTTGGCAGGAGCCAACCCAATGGCTCAAAAAACCCCCACCATTTCCACGTGGAGTTCCCAGCAGGTCCAGAGTTGGGTCTTTTATCCTTAATTTCAGGAGCAGTTTGTTGACGGTGCACCACTAAGTGCTGAGAACTCGGGATTCCGCAGCAAACAAGTCAGGGAGAAGCAGGCCCCGCCCTCCTCACACCACCGGTGCCCGTGGCCTTCAAGTACCTATTGAAACGCATTCGAGATCATTTTTGGAAAAACCTCACAACCTGTCAGGCTCACCTGCTCTTTTTTTCTTGTCTTTTTTGTTCATCCTCCCCTGAGGATATTTTCCCATTGATTTTTAGGGAGAGTGGAAGAGAGAGGGAGAGACAGAGGGAAACATCGATGTGAAAGAAACACATCCATTGGTTGCCTCCTACAGGAGGTCTGACCAGGGCCTGGGCCGGGGAGGAGCCTGCAACCCAGGTACGTGCCCTTGACCAAAATCGAACCCGGGACCCTTTCGTCTGCAGGTCGAAGCTCTATCCACTGAGCTAAACCGCTCTTACAAAGGGAAAACCCACACCCCAAATTGCAAATAAAGCTCATGCTTGCGCTGCCAGAATGAGAGAGGAGAGGCAGGAAACTGGAGTTAGGCAGAGAGATTTTACTCCAAACTGCTGTTGCTATGGGCGTGGCTTAGTGCTGTAATATCTCTACTGAGAAGCAGTGAGTGATCTTTTTTTTTTAATATATTTTATTGATTTTTTACAGAGAGGAAGGGAGAGGGATAGAGTTAGAAACATCAATGAAAGAAACATCCATCAGCTGCCTCCTGTACACTCCCTACTGGGGATGTGCCCGCAACCAAGGTACGTGCCTTGATCGGAATCGAACCTGGGACCCTTCAGTCCGCAGGCCGACGCTCTATCCACTGAGCCAAACCGGTCAGGGCAGTGAGTGATCTTAAAGCCCGAAGACTATATCCCATCTAAAACAAATACCTATCAACTTACTTCCTTCGGTTTTGTATTTGGGTCCTTGTGAAATTTGAAGTGTGATTCTGCATGTCAAACCACCTTGGAACAGACAAAAAGGCTTCATCGTTTTGAACTTGTGAGCCTTCTTCCACAGCCCTTTTCCTTTCTGAAGTCTGATTCTTTCACCCAACTCTGGTTTGTGCAGTGTGGACGAAAGGGGCCACATGCTGACCTGACAGGCTCAGGGGAGGCCTGCGTGGCGGTCTTGCAAACTCAGAGACCTAAAGTCACCACAAAGGATGGTCTGAAATTACACTTGAACTAAAAGCAGTGATGGTGGGCAGTTACGTCCCAGGCCAGTATCTTCACTGACAAGGTCAACCTTTCCCTTAACGGAGCCTGTCTGTCTTTTTGCATCGATGATAACATACCCTTGAAGTGTCTGGGTAACTTGTAACTTCCCTTTTTCTGTAGCCCCTGGGGCACCACCAAATGTGCACCACTGATTCCTTCATTATCATGTTAATTGTTCATGCACCCACCTAAGTATGTGTCCATCATTTTACTTTTTATCCAATCCCAGGGGTTTCCCTGCTTTGCTTATCCCTCCTCCTTAATCTATCACCAATGGATTTCATGTAACCCTCCTACGTCCCTCCTTTGATTGCAATGTATAAATACAAATGTAACCCGCCATTCTCTGGAATATTATCTCAATTTGTTGAGGTTCTGCTTCCCAGCATATGTGGACAGTTTGGCTCAAATAAACACAAAAATTCTTAGCAGCAGGTAAACGTACCCATTAGAGGGGAGATTTATGAAAGGAAACAGTACTTAATTTTCTTAACTTCCTGGTTAGAGCAAGAACCCCTGTAGGCCGGGGCACCCTTTTAACCGCAGCTGTGCATATATTTAAAGAGCATCTGCCCCGAGGATTGAGGCTATGTACCGCATCTCATGTTTCTGCGTAGTTATTCATGGGGTCTTGGCAAATTCTCACGGAGCCATTGAATGCCAACTCCCAATCGTCAAAGCAAACATTCCTGAGATGCATTTACTTAGACAAATTGCATAATGCGCTGGCGCGAACAAGAAACTCTCCTTTCCAAATTAAGTTTTCGTAGGATGAAGCGTGTATTTTTAAACCTCTAAGGCGCTCAACTCATTTTAAACGGAACACCAGTACTTCCTCTCATAAGACGTTACCAACCGCATCACCCCCGGATCCAGGGGCCTTAAATCCCATTTATAAGACTAAGTACCGAGATGAGCAATTGTCAGGTGGTGGAGGTATTCAATGGACTACGTTTGATGGATCTAGCCAGGCTCTCCCCTCCCCCTCCCAGGAATGCCTGTGCATTGCCAGTTAAAGGACCCACGCGTTCCTTCTGGATGTTGCTGGCCGAGCCGGGGTGCCACGTGACACTTAAACTTTATAACAGCGAGTCCGGAGTTGTGGCCTTTCCGCCTTTGCCCTTCTCAAGCTCCTCTTGAAATGTGCTTTCTGACAAGAATCTCAGGCCTTGCAAAGGGCAACCAGGAAGCAAGACTAGAGGTACGTTGGAAACTCGGTGCTCACACAGTGAATAACATAATTCAGTGTTAGAATGCTTCTTTCTGAATCCATCCAGCACCTGCTGGCTAAATGGCACTGAATATTCCCTAAGCAGATGAATGAGTTTAGTGACTTGGCGGTTACTTTCATAGCTACTGAGTGCCTACTAAGTGCTACAGAGTAAGTCTCATGGGATTTAACAACTGACAGAAATGGTTAAGCATGAAATAGTGTTCCTAGCCCAGCCGGTGTGGCTCAGTGATTGAGCATCACCCTATGACTAGGAGGTCACGGTTCGATTCCCGGTCAGGGCACATGCCCGGGTTGGGGGCTCGATCCCCAGTAGGGGCCGTGCAGAAGGCAGCCGATCAATGGTTCTCTCTCATCATTGATGTTTCTCTCTCTCTCTTCCTCCCTCTCCCTTCTTCTCTGAAATCAGTACAAATATATTTAAACAAAATAGTGTTCCTAACCAAGAGTGTCCTGAATAAAAAACGGTGGCACTGGAATTGGATGCCGATGCATTGAATTGTGATGTGGAATGACCTTCAGGATGTTTTTTTTGCTTCTAAGGTCATCCAATCCTACCTGAGGAGCCTGCCTTCTAGGTGGGAGGAGCCTGCCTTTGGGGAGGGGGGGAGGGGGAGGAGCTCTGTCAGGTTCCTGTGCAGGTGCAGTTCTGATATTCATGCCTCAGGAAGGCATGGCCGAGCTCATGTCAATCAAACCCAGAAGACACCCTTGCTGTCTTCCTAGCATGACACAGGCAAAGCCTCATTTGTTTGAAACTCCAATCAGCATTTGTCTTGATGAGGATATGACTACTTTAGCTGGTTCCTCTGCCAGGGCTTTGCTTCGGCAGAATTCCGCTCTGTGCCAAGCAGTCTGTTCCCGTCCTGCTTCCCAGGCCTGTGCATTGCAAGCCAGGGAATGCGAGCAGCTGCTTTCCATGGCCAGGGAGGAAGAGCTGCCTTCTGGGGCCTGGATGCAGTTGCATGTGGTTTGCATGAACCCCAGAGCACCCCCCATCAGACCTGTGGACTTGTAATTTTCAGAAATCCTAACGTACCTGTAGAAAGTTAACAGTGTCCTAATCACTTTTATGCAAATTACCTCATTGGATAATTTCATGCAGATTATCTCATTGGGTTATAGCCCAGAAAAGCTAATCCTATATAATAAAAGGCTAATATGCAAATCGACTGAACAGCAGAACAACCGGTTGCTATGATGTGCACTGACCACCAGGGGGCAGACGTTCAACGCAGGAGCTGCCCCCTGGTGGTCAATGTGTTCCCCTAGGGGGTGCACCGCTCAGCCAGAAGCCGGGCTCACGGCTGGTGAGTGCAGCGGTGGTGGTGGGAGCCTCTCCTGCCTCTGCGGCAGCACTAGGGATGTCCAACTGACGGCTTAGGCCCACTTCCCAGGCCTAATCCCTCGAGGGCTCCTGGACTGCGAGAGGGCACAGGCCAGGCTGAGGGACACCCCTTCCCCCCAAAGTGCATAATTTTGTGCACTGGGCCTCTAGTAAATACATACATACATACATACATACATATTTATGTATTTATTTTTTAATCCTCACCAAGAATATTCTTTTTATTTGATTTCTAGAGAGAGTGGAAGGGAGAGGGAGGGACAGAGAGAAACACCAATGTGAGAGAGACACATCGATTGGTTGCCTTCTGCATGCCCCCAACCAGGGCTGGGAGCCTGCAACCGAGGTACATGCCCTTGATGTGAACCGAACCAGGACCCTTCAGTTCACGGGCCAATGCTCTATCCACTGAGCCACACCGGTTAGGGTTAAAAATAGATATTTTTTAAAATTTCCACCTAACAGTTGGAAAAATGGAGGCTCCTGGACATTGACGGTCTTGCCCATTGAGGCTGAGCTACTATAAAGAACTCGAGCCCTGGTGTTGGAGTTGAACCCAGGACCATTCATTACTGCAGTGCCTGGGCCTCCAAATTCAGATTAGTCCATGGAGGCAAAGACAACGAAAGCCTTCAGGCTGTGATTTGAATCATTACAATATCCCACAAAAATTTCAGATCTCATTTTCTATCAATCAGAGCAGCCTTTACATTACACATACAAAAATTTTATATATAAAATCATATGACCAATTCCTATATTTCTGTTTGATCCACTTTCTCTGCCTCTTTTTTTTTTTAATATATTTTATTGATTTTTTACAGAGAGGAAGGGAGAGGGACAGAGAGTTAGAAACATCGATGAGAGAGAAACATCGATCAGCTGCCTCTTGCACACCCCCTCTTGGGGATGTGCCCGCAACCAAGGTACATGCCCTTGACTGGAATCGAACCCGGGACCCTTCAGTCCGCAGGCCGGTGCTCTATCCACTGAGCCAAACTGGTTTGGGCTCTCTGTGCCTCTTGTATCTGTTGGTGATTGTGACAAAACAGAGCCAACCACCTTCTAGAAGTCCCGGAATGGAGAGAAATAACCTTGAAATCATCACGCCTCCTAAAATAACCACCTTGCTGTGAGTTGCACTGATCAAAATCAGTTGAACTTTCAGAATCCCTCTTGATCTGGTAGTTAATTTGTTACCTTGTGAATCACATCTTAACAGACATTTTTTGTTTTTCTTTTCTGCTATTGAAATTCACAGGTATATACAGTTCAACCATTGTAGTGAAACCTGTAGACCAGTGGTTCTCAACCTGTGGGTCGCGACCCTTTGGGGGTCGAGGGACCCTTTCACAGGGGTCGCCTAAGACCATCGGAAAACACATATATAACTACATATTGTTTCTGTGATGAATCACTATGCTTTAATTATGTTCAATTTGTAACAATGAAAATAAATCCTGCACATCAGATATTTACATGACGATTCATAACAGTAGCAACATGACAGTTATGCAGTAGCAACGAAAATAATTTTATGGTTGGGGATCACCACAACATGAGGAACTGTATTAAAGGGTTGCGGCATTAGGAAGGTTGAGAACCACTGCTGTAGACCCTCTTTGTCCCAATTTTGTGATCTGTGCCTTGAGTTCCGTATCTGCAAAAGGACAAGTTTGAACGACAATCTCTAAGGTTTCTGTAATCGTATGTGTCTGTGACTTTTGTCCGACACCACTGCTCACCTGTGGCTATTTTGTAGACCAGCAAACTCAGTATGTAAAATGCTAATGTAACCCACGCATTACTCACTCAGAGAATCTTCTTTAAGAAGTGACATCCATGTGATCTCAAAGAATAGTCAGCTCTATTTCCGTCACCACCAATAACTTTCCAATAAATTCTAACCTGTATGGACACCGTATAAACATATAGATATTTACACAGTCATTATCATCTTCTGAAGTTTAGCTTGTGACAAGCTAAATAGCTGGTTGTTAACTAAGTAACCTCTGACCATCAAAAATAGTATTGATTCAGAGTTAAAAATTGCCTTTGTGTTAAAACATTATGACATAGATTTAATGTATACAATCTGTTCTATTATTCATATACTTAATACTGCTCATAGATTTTTTAAATAATTCTTTTTTTATTTTGCTCATGATTCTGATGGCCTATTCAGGTGATTTCTAAGCATTCAACCCTTCCAAAGAATGAGCCATATTTACTATGGTTATTTTTTGACATTATGGTACAATTGAGTCCTGTCCAATAGGGGACCCCTCTCTGTATGTTTTTATACAAGGAATAAGTTCAAACTTGAAAAATAATACAATAACCAGTATCTCATAGCAAGTGGTGTTATAATATCAGCTCAACACTAACAGAAATATCTCAGCATAATACATTGATTTGGGGCAGAATGAAAATCTTAGGGGAAGGAGAAGAGAGAGAGAGAGAGAGAGAGAGAGAGAGAGAGAGAGAGAGAGAGAGAGAGAGAGAAGAGAGAAGAAGAAGAAGAGAAGAAGAAGAAGAAGAAGAAGAAGAAGAAGAGAAGAAGGAGGAGGAGGAGGAGGGGGGGGGAGAGGCGGAGGGGGAGGGGAAGGAGAAGAAGGGAAGAGAAAAAAAGGCTTTCTTTTTCCTTTTGTTTCCTTTAGATAAAAGGATGCAACTTTAAAAATACAAGTCAAAAACATACTGCCTATGACAGTGATTTTCCAGGTAGTTCTAGAAAGAGTTGTGATCAATATGGGAGACTGCTAAGGAAAGATATATTTTATTGTATAACTTAGAGGCCCGATGCACAGATTCCCTCGGCCTGGCCTGCGGGATTGGGCTGAAACCGGCTCTCCGACATCCCCCGAAGGGTCCCGGATTATGAGAGGGCGCAGGCCAGGCCGAGGGACCCCATGGGTGCACAATTGGGGCCAGAGAGAGACGCGGGAGGTTGGCCAGCTGAGGGGAGGGGGAACCGCAGGAGGGCTCCAGTGCGTGTCCAGCCCCACTCGCTCTGTCCTGATCAGCCGGACCCCAGCAGCAAGCTAACATACCGGTCGGAGAGTCTGCCCCCTGGCGGTCAGTGCAATCATAGCCACTGGTTGATCAGTTGACTCTCTGCCCTCTAGTGGTCAGCACCCATCATAGCGAGCATTTGAGCAGCTTTAGCATATCATTAGCATATTACTCTTTGATTGGTTGAATGGATGACCAGACACTTAGCATATTAGGCTTTTATTATATAGGATTGTTGGAAGTCCTAAATAGGAAGTTATGTGTGATTATATATATATATATATATATATATATATATATATATATATATTCCATAGTTGATTGCAGGTAAAAAAAACCACACCAAGAAAAGGCACTGCTTTATTATGAAAAACAGCTACGCATATACCATAATATATACCGATATTAGGTTTTCATCTTACGGTTTATTATATGTATTTCCAGATGAGCATGGCTTGCAATAATGGACTTGGAATGTGGTTGATGTCTTCCCTATGAATTAGCGGCGAAAAATCTCTGTAGCTCACAGATCTCTTCTGGGAGGTGGATTGGAAGTCTCTGACGTATTACATTTATACCATCCGGCTTCTCCCTAATATTG